TTATATTTATTATAGATAATTACTTATAGACGCAAAATACGTGTGCTGATAACACTCTAAACAATCACGAGTTTCATAGATGATGGCATAGTTATCCACTAGTAGCAAAAAAATTTCATATGCTCTATAAAATTAAATCAAATTTCAGTCATTATTAGAGAATGGCTTAGAGAATGGCTACAACATCACTTGCTAAACATTCATAAGTCCAACTTTTAATGGCAAGTTTGAAAGAGCAATTGCTGCATATTTTTAAAAATATGTAAAAGAGTTTAATATAGTATTAAATTCTTTTGAAAAATAGTATTGTTAAAGCATATATTGAAATGTCAAAAGCAATTGTTTATGATATCCTTCAACCCATCAAATCAACCGATAATATCAATCCAGAAAAAGTTTTTATAAAACCTAGAGTTACTACTCCAAAAACTGATAAGATTGTATGCTTTTAAGGACATGCAGTCAGAGAAATAAGTATTCAAACAAAATATTTTATTGTGAAAAATAAACTTTGTCAGATTATTTCAGAAAAAAATTTTTTTTTTGATTAATACTTTTTAATTATTCTGAAAGTAAGTTTAAGCACAATTTTTAAAATATCTACATTATTTAAATTGCGTTGCTAAACTTTAAAGACTCCCTAAGGAGTGTTAAAACTTCAACTTAAGATAATTATCCAAATATGCTGTTTTGTAAACGAAGTTTTGAAATTAGTTATTAAAAATAGTTTTTAAATCAATTGTCAGAAATAAAGAAATAATTTTGTTTAATAACAAGTAACTTTTAATAGTTGACTGATATTTTTCAAATTCATTGGATTTATCATTAAATTTTAAGTATGGGAGCTAAAATTAAGGAATGATCACTAGCTCAGCACAATATGGTTCTTGACTTGTTCCAGCAAGGTTAAACAGTTAAGTTGATAAAAAAAGCCACTGGAATGGCATTTGAGCCAGGATAGCTTAGTTTTTTAAAGGGCTGCTATAAAGTTCAGAATAATTATTGGCCATAGCAGCAGGGTTGCAGGTTGAAATCCTGGCTCCAAGTGTATGAGTAGTACTTCAATACAAAGGAAACTTGTCTTGATTAGCTCTGCTATTACTATGCTTCCTCCTCAACTAGTAAATAAATAATCTAGTCGAGTAAAAGAAAATTAAAAAAAATAAAAATAAAGATTTCATTTGGATATGTGGAAAATTAGCAAAGATCCAAAGCAAAGTGTAAAACGACATCCAGAGTTGATCAACAAATTGTCAAGATAGTGCAAAAAAAAAAAAAGATTTTAGAATACAAGTGAGCGCATGTACTATTTGAAATTGATTGAAAAAAAGTGGGTTTAAATAATGAGTCCAATACAAGAAACCTTTCAAAAATCCATCAAAGATGAAGACTTGCTTTTGCTAATAAATATTTAAGTATGTTGGTATCATTCTGTAGAAAGGTTTTGTCAACTGAAAAGCTAAAGTTTAACCTTGTGAAGTCCAATGAAGCTCAAAAGTTATGGAAATAAAAGGTGAAACATTACACTCAGTTGCATTCGAGGAACAGTAAAATTTAGTGGAGACAATTTTATGGTCTGAATTTTACAAAGAAAAGGTTTGTCATATTCTCATATGTGGTGCAATCTAATGTTAATTTAATCTAACGTGGTGCAATCTAACGTTTGCAGCACATTAAATCAATGTTTGTTTTCCACTAAAATCATGTTTTAATCCCAAAAATGTTGTACTTTCTCTTAAGCAATGTCCAGCAAATATGATTTGGGTTACAATCACTGATAGCGGTCATGCTGGTTTGCTAATGGTCATGGAAAACAATTGGGCAAAGTTAAAAGCAGATGTTTCTAAACATAACTAACCTTACCAGCAGTTTTAAGAAAAGCCATCATAAAAGTGTGGGGTTATAAGTTAACACCCAAATATTTTAAGTCTCTTGTTGTCTCGATGCTGCAAAGAGTAGAGGCTGTTCTAAACACATGTTTTAGTACTTTGTATTTTAGTTTTTTTAAATTATTCATATGTTTATTCATTATGAGTATTCATATGTTTTTTTTATGTTAATTCTATTAATAAATACAATATACAGTGCAAAAACTATTTTTAGCTTTAAATATTAGAAAAAACGATGACAGATTTTTGCAGCCATAAGTGTATTATCAAAATGCATTATCATGTTCAACCTATTACTAAATTTTCAGCTTATTATCAAATATTCAAAAAATGTTCTCAAAAAAAGTGAAGAAAAAAAAAGTTATAAAAATGATTATAATTTTATATACAAATTATTATTTAGATTAATTTGCATTAAAAATGAATAGTTATGTTTTTAATTAGTATTACTATAATGATAAAATGTTTGTATACTTCTCACTAACAGGGGTTCAGAGTATTTTAAAAATCAGGCTTGCTTAAACCAAGAATCCCTTATTATTCCAATTAGTTGTTTTCCAGGACTCTCTTCAATTCTCTCTAAACTATTTAGCGTTGGACTTAATCTTGTTAATTTGTCTGCTGTAAAATGGCATCTGTGGTTCCAGTTTTGAAAAACTATTTAGAAGGGTCAAAGAAGAATCCTTTGACTTCTCTAACTATCAACCAATCATTCTTCTATCTATCATTAGCAATATGTTTGAGTCTTTAATCAACCAATTTCTAACATCCCATTAATTATAAGTCTAATAACTAACTCTCTAATAATCAATATGATTTTCAATGTTCTTGTTCTACAAGAATTTTTATTAACAGCTGTATTAGCATTTTTATTAACAAATTATTGTGCATTTGAGGAGGGTGATGATGCAAGGTATATAGACATATTAAAAGCTCTTGACATTTCAAAAGTTTTAGCTGAAGCTTGGTATGCTGGTTTCTTCCATAAGCTTGTTTTATATGGTGTATCTAGGAAAGTTTTTGAGACTATTAAATTATTTCTTTCTAACCGCAGTATTAAAAACATTCCCAAAGGCCAACCCTCTACTGACAACCCAACTTCATTCTTCGCTCTTTAGTCTCCTCTTTTCAATAGCTTAGAACAGCCAGCCAATATAGAATCTGATCTTTTTTTTGTAACTGGTTAGAGTTTGCAGTGGCTTGTGGATTTTAACTCTAGCAAAAATTTTTTAACTTCAAACAGCTATTGCAATATTGTTGACATTCCTATATTAATGTCTGACAACCCTCACACTGAGTTTTCTACTTAATGTCTTTTTGGTCTATCATTTACTACTGACCTCTCTTGGAAACTATATATACAGTTGGTTGCATTTGCTTAGGTTACTTTTCTTTATTGTGCTTGCCATTTTCTTACTCCTGATTTCATTAAAACTACTTTTGTTGCTAAGCAAAAAAAGTAGGTTTAATGAAATCAGGAGTAAGAAAATTCTCCCATTGTTGTAAGGTTGCATCAATTTCTCTTTTTATAAATACTATCATGGTTGGTCAATAAGCTATCATCTCTAGTTTCATCAACCAAATCTCATTTTCACTTAACTCGTCATTCAGCAAAAGTTGCATCCTTTTACTGTATCTGTCACTTCATGCTTTAAAATTTTTTATTTATACAGGTTCAACCCTTGGAATTAGGAAAAATGAGGTCGGCAATAATTTGCCATCCTCAATATTTTTGAGGTCGGCATCAGGTTGTCAAAAATTATTTGATATAAAGGTCTGACCATAAAACATAGAAAAGAGGTCGGCATTGCTGAATGCTGACCCTAATTCCAAGGGTTGCAAGTTTTTTCCTAACACATCTTTGTTTTGGAAATCTCTCGTATATTTATATTTTCCTGACTTATTTATACCATTCAACCTGCAACTTTTCAATTTTTTCATTCTGGTTGAGAGTAACTAAGTTTTAAATAAAAAATATTTTTATAAACTTTCTGCATTTTAGATTTTTATTAAATATTTTACAGATTAGGTTCATTAATAATTACATTATTATTATTACTATTCATGATATTACACTTATATTTGTTTAATATGTTTTTGTTTTTTTTTATTAATTATTTCTTACTTTTTCTGCAAAATTATACATCTTCTTATAATTCTAAAATTATATACCTGAGTTTTATAAGTTGATTCTAAATAAGGAACTTTTATCTACTTTTTGATAAGAGGTTTTTTACTAAAATTTATCTAGAGACGTAAGTTATTAATAAAATCCACCATGTTGCTTGTTTACAATTTTTTTGTTTAGAGTTTAATATAGTATTAAATTCTATTATATATAAAAATTAATATATACTCAAAAGAGTTTAATATAGTATTAAATTATGTGGTATTGTTTAAAGTATAAATCTTGAATACATTTTATTAAATATAGTTGCATTAAATTTATGCTGATGTTGATACAAGAACTAAATACTTTAAAAGCAATTAGTTATATAATTTATATAAAATAATGATTTGGGAAACATGTGCTTTTTTTAAAATTTCTCCAAAATTTATATAACGAAAGTTAATAGAGCCAAATTTAAATGATTTGATTAAATATTATAAAAAAAAAAAACAAGTACATTTTTATCAGTAGACTACAAAATACTTTTTTTTTTCTTTTTGTTAAATGTTTATAAAAAACATGCAAATATTTCTGTTTGATAAACTTTATTTGAGCTTTGAAAATTTTATTTAATGCTTTGAAAATTTTATTTTAATGCTTTGAAAATTTTATTTTCATATATTTGGTAATAATGATTATTTGTTTTTTTGTAGATAAGAAATGGAAAGCTACCAAATGACAATCTGTTTTTTATGTTAATTACTTGCGTGCTTAAAGAATCTCAAGCTTATATGAGAAGGCAAAAGGTTAAATGTAATACATACACACACACACACACACACACACACACACACACACATATATATACATGTACAATTATATAATATGGCAATTCCACGGCAGAAAATGAAAAAATAGTCAAAGTTTATTATCTTTTTTGTTAACTTTTAGCAAATGAATATTGATGTAGACACATGAAAGTTTTTAAAAAATGTATCTTTAGTACTAAAATTAATTTACTTAATTTACTAAATTAATTATTAAGTACTAAAATTAATTTAAGTCATTTTTATGCTTCCAAAAGTTACGATTTTTCTCATTGTCGCATGATAAAAAAAGTATCATTGTAAAATATTATTTTAATGATGAATTTTTTTGCATAATTGAAATTAATTTTGCGTGAAAATGGAAAATTTTCAAATGTTAGGGTTGAAAGTTTCCAGAAAAATTTTTATAGCAATAAACTTCTTAGTTATTATATAGTTTTATCAAATTCATTTCTTTGTTACAAAAATGTGTTTTATCATCATAGTATTCATTGGATATTCTTTAAATATTTCAAAAAAATATAAAATAATAAATAAAATAAAAATAAAATAAAATAAAGTAAAATAAAATAAAAATGAAATAAAATAAAATAAAGTAAAATAAAATAAAATAAAATAAAGTAAAATAAAATAAAATAAAGTAAAATAAAATAAAGTAAAATAAAGACCCACAAGAAAAAAAATGCACATCTTTTAGTCATATTTTTGTAGTCAATTTAAGAAACAATTTAAAAAAAAACAATATATATAATATAATAATATAGTATATAATATATATAATAATATAAAAATATTTTATTATATAGTTTATGTAGTTATAATAAAATAACTTTTATGTAGTTTATGTAGTTATAATAAAATAACTTTTATGTAGTTTATGTAGTTATAATAAAATAACTTTTATGTAGTTTATGTAGTTATAATAAAATAACTTTTAAGTAGTTTTTGTAGTTATAATAAAATAACTTTTATGTAGTTTATGTAGTTATAATAAAATAACTTTTATGTAGTTTATGTAGTTATAATAAAATAAATTTTAATATTATATACATAAAATATATAATATAAGTCAATTTAAAAAAACAACAATAAAACGCTCAAGTTGTTATATGTTACTTTTACTTACATTACTTTTGTAAAACATCAAAAAAAGATGTTTTCCGCATTAGCTTGTCTTTTGAACTTGCATATAACATATTTCTAGCTTTTACTTCTCTCAATTTCTATGTAACCCAGCCAGCAAGTGGTATTGGAGCCCAAGCGGGCTGCTCACATCCCGCCTAAGGAAAATTGTTGCTGGGCGTGAATTGGGGTCCAAGTGGGCAGAACAAATAGGCTGCATATGTGGAACCCACATGGGTTCCACTTTTTTATTTATTTAAATTTTTTATAAAAATTTGAATAATTATTTTTTTATTTTTGAATTAGATACATATATGATATGTAGTCATAAATATACTTAAATCTAGCTTTATAGAAGTATAATAGGGAATCAAATATATGAAGAAAAAAGTAAGCAGTAATCAATTTTATTAGACAGTACTTAAATAATAAACTAGTAAAAAGAATAGTGAAATATAAATAAGTGAATTCAAACCTTACGACATAAACATTAAATAGTCCTCTTTGAGACGTGTCATGTTATATACATTTTTTCTTGTGGGTTTATAAAAATTCAAATAGCGTATACACTTTCAAAAACTTTTTTATACATAAAAAATTTTTTTTCAGTCTTTCATAACTGACTTAGTAATTTTTTTTTTTAAGTTCTCTTTAATGTTTACAGAAATAATTTTTAAATACAATTTAAAACTCTTTTACTACCACTAATACATGACATTAAAGTTCACTATTACAGAGTCTTTAAAATGATTTGACTTAAAATAAAAAGAAGATTTTTCGAAAAAGAGTTAATTAGAATTTAATTTAGTTTAAAATTTGAGAAAAGCTTTGAGACGTAAATACATTTGAGAAATGTAAGAGGGTTTTCATAAAGTAAGTGCGGTATTGTGATTTATACTCCTCCAGCTAATTGCCTAGTGGAGTACCTTATATCATCACGCACACATTAAACCAGTATTCTCCTTTCTGAGCACCCTGGTCTTTGTACGGGTTGAGATTGTTGGGGAAAAAGAAGATATTTTAGTGAAAGGTGAATATATTAGATTTAGGAAGATAGCATAGAGAAAAATAGATCTGTCATTTAAAAAACAAAGGAACTAAAAAACGCTAAAGCCGATTAAGGACTTATATTTTTTTTCGAACACGAAAGTGATAGCAAAGAAGTACTGAAGGTTGTAAGCATTTATTGTCTTTTTATGTTGTAAAGTGTTAAGTAAAAAGTGTTATATAAAAATCCATAATATAAACAAATCTTAATATAGAAATCTTAATATCACTATCAAATCTTAATATCACTATATATATCTTTCTTCAATGAAAATTAAAACTATATTATTTTCTCAAGACACATGATTATTCCTAGATCAAGTCTTTAAATAAACACGTGGTTAAGTTGAATTAAGAGATTTTACTGATTTATTTTACTGATTTTCCACGATTCATAATGCCTCACTATCGCGCGATCGGATGACATTTAAATTTAGAAAATAATATGGAATTTAACTCTTTTTTAACTACATATATGGGCTCTAAATGGGCCCTTTTATAAAGCCCACATAGAGCCACTTGGGCAAACCCATATGGGCCCCAATAGGACATGTTCGCTGGGAAAATGTTTTTAAAAAGTGCAAAGAATAAAATCTTTTTTAGGCAAGTGCGCTAACCGCTGTGCTACAGCTTAAACACACTTATTTAAGCGGTGGACTTATGACCTGAAAATCATTAGTTCTTTTTTTTTTTATTGCTAACTTTACTCTTAAATAGTTCAAATTTAGCAAAAATATTTTCCTTACTTTTTGTTTTTCATTAATAAATAACGTCTTTAATTCAAGAAAAATTGTAAAATACTGCAAATACTTATATCAAACCTTTTTATATATAATTTTATAGTTTTCAGTAATTTATTGGTAATTTTAATAGATATTGATAAATACAGCAATGAACATCAATATGAATAGCAAATAACAGGATAAAACAATTTTAAAAAATTTTGAAAACAAATAGTCGCAACTTAAAGTTATAATAAAAAAACTCAAAAAAATATCAAAAAAAGTGTTTTTTAAAAGGGGCTTTCTAAAATTTGTATGACCAGCCTCACAATATTTTACCATAAAATTGTTCATAACAACTGCCTAACTAAGAAATAAAATTTTACCCATTAATTATAAAATAATTTATCTTTTTTAAAAAGTTTCCAAAATTTCTGGAAAAATTCCTGAGTTGAAATTTCCAAAAATTTTGCAACCCTATTCAATTTGTTGTTGGTCAAATTTTATGCTTATAAAAAATATATATTACAAGAAAATAAGGAAAGAACTTTTGCAATTTTCATGTAACGTAAGTCAACAAAAGCATGATAAAGTTTTGTTTTTATGTTATATATGCAAAAGAATACTAAATGAAATTATTTATTAAGAAATTTGCGTTGATTTGACAAGGTTCTAACTAAAACTTTTTATATTAGGAGAATTTTAAAAAAAAATCTTTTTTAATTTTTTTTTATTTGTTTATGAATTCTTATTTTGATTGACATAAATATACATAAATAAACAAAACGAGAGTTATATAAATATTTTTATTTAGACATTAAAATATATATATATATATATATATATATATATATATATATATATATATATATATATATATATATATATATATATATATATATATATTTATCTACTTTTGCAATTCTATTGTTACGTAACTTTAACTTTTAATAATAGATATAAAAAATGCACCATAATAATCGCTTTGTAACATAAGTGATGTAACGTAAGTTAAATATATAGTATCAAAAAAAACAGTTTATTTTCTTTAGACTAACAGCTTTTATACAACGTAGCTAAAAGTTTAATTTACGATTTAAATAGACAAATAATTGACACAGTTGCTGTGCTTGTAACGTAAGTTAAAAATGGAGTTGCCTCTCTCTCTCTATATACATATATATATATATATATATATATATATATATATATATATATATATATATATATATATATATATATATATATTAGGGTATCCCTTATTTTTCAAAGTTTTTATTTTCTAACACATAGGTCTTAGTTTTGTTCATTTGCTCCTAAAACACTCAAAAAAATTTTTTACCTTATTTGGAGTACGATAACCTATGCCGACTTACATTGAGTCACAATGATGCAAGTTGTGCAATAGTTGCACTTACATTATTTGTTAAAAGAGTAAATATGCTCAAAGTGGCTTTTACAATGACGTGAAATTAATAATTGAAAATAGATAATTATCTTGATAAATTGGTATCGATTGATAATAGTAAACAGATAATAATTATATACTTACAATAATTGTAAATAGATAATTATTATCAATTTTGCGACATTGTAAAAACTGCTTTAAGTAAGTCCGCAGTTTTAGAAAACCTTAATTCAGTTATTCTCATGGCTAACACATATTTTATTTATAAGAAATGGCAGTGAAATTAGCCTATATGAAAATAGCCAGTGAAATTAATTGGAAAAAAAAGCAATGAAAAAAATAAATTTTCTTAGTTGGTAATGTGAATTATAAAATAACAGGCGCAAAAGTTATTATCTAATCGTCAAGTTCTTGTAGTACTTTTATTAACATTTGCAAAGTTAAATTGACTTTTAGTGAAAGTGCCAATCTTAACATTCAAGAGTCTATTGTATTTTGGAAAAAAGCTAGAATCCCTACCAGAGCTATACATAACTGTGCACAAAAAACTTGTAAACCTTTACCATGTTTGGAAAGAGTTGCAAAATAATTCCAAAAAAAAAAACAAGATATTTACAAGCACCGTGAGGAGGATTTTCAAAACAGTATAGATAATTTATTTGATATAGCACATGCTGATGCATTGTTATGGATAAATTACAAAAACAAAGAGAATCAAGGTGTCCAGGATGTTTAGCTTTTTTTTCAAGTAATTTTTTGTAGACAAAAAATTAGCTGAAAAAGAAAATTCCAAAAAAGGAGACAAATCAGAAAAAAATAAAAGACGAAAAAAAAAAAAAATTAGCAAATGTGTTTTGGGAGTTTATTGTCATCTCTTACTACACAAGATTTTTTGACACCAGCACCAATGAAAGTCATGAGAAATCCTTACCATTAACCTTTTAAATGGTAAGTTTTGAAACTGCAACAAAACAGGAAGGAAGAACTTTATCACATTTTAAAGATAAAAAATTCTGTTTATATACTTATGGCTGTAGTAGAAGCACTAGATTTAATCGGTGATAAACAATTAAAAAAGTTGTCCATTAAATGCATTTGCACACAAAGTAGAAAAGATAAAACCGAATTTATAAATTTAGATTTTAAGAATAATATGGCTGAAATAATGACTTTTAACTGGGATGGAAAATTATTACCTGGAATGGACATAAAAAGTTCTAAAGAAGAAAGTCTGGCAATTCTAATTTTATTTGGAGAAAAGGAACAACAACTGGCTGTACCCAAACTGAAGATTTCTTCTGGCCAAAGTCATGCTGAAGCTGTATTAAATGCACTTTATGACTGGAACCTTGGCACAACAACGCCTAATACAGGGCCATTAAAAGGAGCTTGTGTACTTTTGGAACAAAAATTAGACAGGAAATTACTACTTTTTGCTTGCCACCATCACAATTACGAACTAGTTTCAAAATGTGTGTTTGAAACAAAAAATCCACCAAGTCAAAAGTAGCCCTGATATCCCAATGTTTAAAAAATTTAGAGATAACGGGAAAATTATTAATCTGGCTGCTATTGAAACATACCTTGATATTGTCAAACATCATTTTATTAATTTAAAATTTGGAGAGATATTAACATTTTATAATTAAGAACTGCAAAAACTATTGATGATAATGATGATTATCAGGAACTGATTAAACTGTCTGTTATTTTCTTAGAAGGTGATAATTCAAACAAAATTAAAATCAGAACTCTTGGAGCAATGTATCAAGTGAGGTGGATGGCTAGAACTATTTGTTCTTTAAGGATATGTTTGTTGCAATCTCAGATCAAAATTAGTGGATAAATAAGGATAAACAAGCACTTTATTTTTGTGTCTGTCAAAAGAACTAATTACATACATATATAATTATATACATAAGAACTATATAAATACATATTTTATACTGCTGATTTTCTTCTTTTAATTCACCTCCTCTAGGCCAAGAAGGCCACTACAGACAAGGAGGCTACTTATTTGTGGTTATAACCCTCTCTCAACTCTATAACTCCGAAACACGAACCTTGATGAACAAGGCCGCTGCGTGGAGAAACGAGTGGGAGGTGGGAGGTGTGATGTCATATTGAAATAACCTGCTGCTGGGGACTTCAGTACATACATTGACTGACAATTATATGTATATATATATATATATATATATATATATATATATATGTATATATATATACATATATATGTGTATATATATATATAAATATATATGTATATATATATGTATATATATATATATATATATATATATATATATATATATATATATATATATATATATATTTTTTGTTACTTCACCTCCCCAAGGCCGAGAAGGCCACTACAGACGAGGAGGCTACTTAATTGTGGTTATAACCCTCTCTCAACTCTATAACTCCGAAACACGAACCTTGATGAACAAGGCCGCTGTGCGGAGAAACAAGTTGATATATATGTGTATATATATATGTATATATATATGTATATATATATGTATATATATATATATATATATATATATATATATATATATATATATATATATATATATATATATATATATATATGTATATATGTATATATATATATATATATATATAAATTATGTTAGTGTATACTACAAATAGAGTGCTCAATATTCTTTAAGAACAGAGGATTAACAAATTAGTAAAAAAACGTATCTAATTTTTATCTTCAACAAATTGTTTTACCCTCAGTAGGTTCATTGCAAGCTTCTAACTTCATAGGAAAACAATTAGAGTTTGCTTGGATTTCATTTTTATTTGCTAAATGTTTTTTTTGGAGATACAAAAACATCAATTTTCTCCAATGTACGGTGGTATGAATTTAGATATTGGACAATATGTTAAAACAAATATGTTTGTGCATATATATATATATATATATATATATATATATATATATATATATATATATATATATATATATATATATATATATATATATATATATATGTTCTACGACTATATACATGTTCTTTGTTCTACGGCTGACTTACTAACTGCTGTGACTGAAAAGTTTTATCATATAATAAATATGGGCGGAGAGGCTAGGGCTTTTTCTCTTGATATATCTAAGGCTTTTGACAAAGTTTGACATGTTGGTCTTTTTTTTAAGCTTGTTTCATATGATATCTCTTTAAAATTTTTTGAGATTATCAAATTGTTTCTTTCTAATCATTTTATTAAAGTCATCCTCAATGGCCAACAAATGGCACTCTTCTATATTTCCAGTAACTTCTGGGGTCCTTGAATGTTCTCCCCTTGGTTCTATTTTGTTTCTTTAATAAAACTCAGTTATTTACTGCAAACAACTATTGTAGTACTGTTGACATTAATATATTAATGAATGGCAACCTTCTTACTGAGCCCTCTTCTTTATGTTTTCTTGGATTATTGTTTGCTACTTTCATGTTAGCCATATACAATCGATTGCTAAATTAGCATCTGCTAAGGTTACTTCTCTTTATTGTGCTTGCTGTTTTCTCTCTACTGATTCTATTCTCTATCTCTATAAATTTCTTATTTGCCCCTGTATGGAATACTGTTGTCATATTTTGCTGGTTCTTCTAATAATGCTCTTTCTCTTCTAGAAAAGGTCCAAAAATACATTGTAAACTTAATTGGACCTGGTCTATCTGCTAAGCTTGGGTCTCTTTCCTATCATTGTAAATTTGCATCTCTTTCTCTTTTCTACAAATATTGCTGCTCAAAGGAGCTTTCATCTCTAGTCCCATCAACTAAAACTCATTCTGGCTTGACTCATCATTCATCAAAGTTTCATTCTTTTACTGTATCTGTTCCTGTTTGTTCCAAAAACTTTTATTTTTCTATTTTTATCCCCCGCCCTTCAACCCTTTGGATTTTTCTCCTAACTTCATATTTTCCTTACTCATACAACCTTCATTTTCAAAATCTTCTGTCAACCGTTTCCTTGCTTTATAACTCTATTATTTTTTTCTAGTAACTGCCAACTTAATATTGGTTGCTTGCAACCTTGTTGGGAGTGAATCAGAATTACTTCTTTCATAGTTTTTTTTTATATTTTTTTTTTAAAGAAATTTTTTATTTGTATTTTATTATTTATTTTGTATTCATTCTATTTTTTTTAAATTTGTAACAGGGTCTCTACAAAGTTAAAAAGATTATTGTACTAATCTTGCCTATTAGCAAAGGATTGTAATACCCTTATTCCAATCAATTAAAAAACTAAACCCATGATGCAAGTTTTTTAAAATTGTCTCCTAAAAGCAGCTAGTATTGATTCCCATGATGCAACCAACTATTATACTCCAATTAAGCAACATCGTAATGCTGTATGCATCAGTACACTTAAAAGAATATTAACCATTCTAAACCATCCAATTACACTTAGTCTACACCAGAGCATTTACTCATATATTACCTTTAAATTCCACACTAGAATAGCAAAATTGACATTGTATTATACATGTTTCTACAAAAATTTATCTGCCACCTATTTATTGATGCTTATAAACCAGGTGCTAATTCTGATCTATATGTTACTTGAAAACACTCAGTAGATTCTCAACACACATCCCGTCAAAATTTTGTACTATTAGTTTTTGTAAACTGAAATCATTTATTTCAATAAAAGATTTGAACCCATATGCATTTTATATTTATTTTACATTTTTATATATTTTTTTTTATTTTACATTTTATTTACTTTTTATATAGTTTTAATATACATTTATAAAAAGTGCATAATTTTTTGATACTTGTTACCAATACCATTTAGTTAATATTCTTAACACCCTATTCTGCTTGTCTATCTATGTTTAACTAGCATGCGTGGTAGTGTAGTTGCAATCACATATGAATGGTTTTTAGAACACAATCATGCATGTTGGTTTATAATAACATGGAAAAAGCCTAATATTTGCAATTTAGTGTGAATGATTAGAGAAATATTTAAAAATATATTTATCAAAAATTATATTGCAGGAGGCACAATTTTATCATACAGTTTTATGTTTACGGAAAACTTTTTTCTAAAAATTTATCCATTAGTTACATATATCAAATGCCTTAAATCTAGTTTATTTGCATGCAAGTTTAAAATTATTCAAATTAGCTTTGATTGCATTTTTTTGTTCTAAAAAATTAGAACAAAAAAAATGCAATTAATCCTTCTTACCAGCCTTTCTTTCCTTTGATTCAAAAAAACAAAATGTAAAGTTTTCAATAAAGCAGAATATAAAGATTTTTTTTGCTTCAATAAAACCAAATATGGTCTATATATTAAGGAATTAGTTAACTGATTATTTCTAAACTAGTCAAACTGCCCCGAAAATGTACATACCTCATTTTTACGCAAAGTTTCGTTTTTTAAGTAAATTGAAAAATTAAAATACTTTTTTTATTTTATAATTTATGTATTAAATGCTTTTTTGTGTGTTTTTGTTTAGGATGAGTGCCGTTTTGTCAGTTTGAGAGATGTGGAAAGAGCATTATTAGTCACAAGTTGGTTTTATAAGAGGGTTGACTTATTTATTAACATTGCTGATGAAAAGGTATAACAATAAAAAAATATATAAATTTATAATAAATTATTAATTATTATAAACAATTCAAAATACATGTTTAACAATCAACTTACTTTTTTACAGTTAAAAAATCTGATTTATATAACTTATGTGTTTTAATTTTATTTTTCTTAAGTTGTATATAAGTTTTTTAAAACAACTCTTTTATTCCTAAAATTTTATTTAAAAATAAGAAATTTATAAAAAAAAACACTCAAGACGCAAAAAGATGTGGTAACATTTAGTTAACAATTTAAAAAAGAAAACTCGAATTTCAAAAGTTCTCAATCATGAAGTGAAAAGTTTGCTATTAAATAAAAAAAAATTTCAGTTGTATCTGCAAAACTATTTTGAGAATATTGAGGAAAGGAATATTTAGAAGCCCATTTATGCTATAAATAAGTAAACATACAAAGGGTAACATAAAAAACGTAAAGATAAGAAATAATAAGCAAATAAAACTCCTGTATTGCATTTTTGTTTTAAAATTATAAAAGTTCAGATTCTAATATTAATTAAAAGATCTACTTCATACTTTTCAATTTCCTTTGAACTTGTAATGACTAGTTTTTCAAGTGGTTAGATACCTAATGATGTCAGGAATTATGACAAAGTTAAAACCTCTTTTTTAGTTTGCTAATTCACTAAAAGCTGTTAATAAAGTCTTTGTTCAGCTAAATAGAAAGAGTCTCAACCAAAAAGCGTGTCTCAATGTGTGTATGTTTGCAAGCTGTTGGTCTCATTCATTTAGAACATCATAGTGATGATAAATATGTATTCTATTGAGGACTTTTTGAAAATTATTAGACAAGAATTGTAAATAGATGGCTGGACAGCTGATAATTTTTACCAAAAAGAAAACAGGACCAGACATTGTCTGTAAAAAATGTATATATAGTTTGTACTAAAGTTTTTTTTTTATATTTACCAATATTATTTGGGCTGTTTTACTGTTTTCCTGTTGATTATGTGCTTTGATGTATTATGTTGCTGCTGCTGCTATAGGGGTTCTAGATTCTAAAATTCTGTCCCATTTTAGTAAAGTTGTATCTTATTCTCCTTTTTACAAATACAACCATTATTGCTTCTCAAATAAGCTATAATTACTTGTTCCATCAAATAAAATTCAATTCCGCATGTCATCATAGTAACAGCTATCATGACCAAGTTGCAACCTTTTACTCAAAAAAGTTTTATTTATTTAGTTTTTTTCCACAAAACTTTCGAACTAATGTTTTTTTGACTCATGCACAATTCAGATTCTTAAGTCTTTCTTCAATTGCTTTCTTACTTTTTAACTCTCATCTTTCATTACTGTAAACTCTTAACTTAGTGGTTGCTTTCATTCTTATATATATATATATATATATATATATATATATATATATATATATATATATATATATATATATATATATATATATATATGTTTATGAACATTTTGTATGTGATAAAATGATAAAAATGGGTAATGATAAATTATTTTAATTTTATATAATTATAAACAATAATACTTTAATTTAAAAATAATATAGTTAATTGCTTAAAGGGAAATAAGTTCCAAATATTATTCATTAAGAAATAAACTGTTCTATTTATTAAAATAAATATGCTATTATATAATAAGATATAATAAATTGTATAATATACTATATAATGCCATTATAAAATATAATGAATTTAAAAATCTATGAAAAAATAAATTAGAAAATGCATTTATTAGAAAGTAAACTGCTTTAAGTATGATTATTTCAATAAATTTTTTTATTTATTTGTTTAATTTTTAGCTCACTATTTATAACAAAATGCAATTGACATTAATTTACTCATTAAGCGTATGTTATATTGCAAAATTAGAAGACCGTGAATCTTATTGTAAATATATTTCTAAATTCTTTACTGGTTGTTTTAAATTGAGAAATGGTGCTCAAGAAATTAAAGACAAAGTTGTTAGGTAAAGGTATTTTTTATATATTTTAAATGAAATTAGTTATTATCAAAATTGAAATTTAAAAAAATAGGAATTTATGCAGAAATAAAATAACAACATTTGTTAGTTTAACAAAGATTGTTGTAATTTAAATAACAACTTTTTATAAAAATAATGATAATATATAGTATAATAGTAATATACAAGTTTTGTATAGTATATTTAAGTATATATTAAGGTTAGGTAAAGTTTATTTTGTCAAACAATTTTTAAGGTCTACCTTTTATTTTTGTTTATAAAAAAATGAAAAAAAATTTTTTTTATGTATTTTTGTTTACTTAATTGCTTTTATTCTTGCTTGAGAATTGAATAAATATGATTTTATCTCTCAGTCTCCAAAAAAAATTTTTGTGCGAAATAAAGCTTGAAGATAATATTGCACAAAACGAAGCTTTATGTGAGAATATTTTCATGATGGTTATTTGCATTGAATTGCGTATCCCTTTATTTGTTGTTGGAAAACCTGGAAGTTCAAAGTCATTAGCAAAATCTATCATTCAAGATTGTATGCAAGGAACCATGTCAAAATCTTGTCTGTTTCAAAATTTTAAGCAGGTTTTTCATTTTAAGATTTTTTTTAATTTGAGATTTTAATTTAATGTAAAAAGTAAATTAGATTAAGAGAACTAAATTGTTTAAAAGTTTTTAGCTTTCATTTTTTTATTATATGCACTTATTTATTTATTATTTTATTATTATATTTACTTATAAATACTTCAAGTATTTATTAATTTTTTTAACAATGTTTTAACAGATTTTTATGTCTTCGTACCAATGCAGTCCTCTTTCAACAGCAGATGGAATAATAAATACATTCAAACAGTGCAGTCGATTTCAGGAAGGAAAAGATCTTGAAACTTTTACTTCTGTTGTTGTACTAGATGAAATTGGTCTTGCAGAAGATTCTCCACGTATGCCTCTTAAAGCATTGCACTCATTATTAGAAGATGGCACTGATGGTTCTGAAGAACTTACACTTGATGATTTGTCTCTTAAAAACAAAAGAGTGGCATTTATTGGTATCTCAAACTGGTCACTTGATCCTGCAAAAATGAATAGAGGAATTATGTTATATAGAGGACAACCTAATTTTGATGAGTTAGTTAAAACTGCAAGGTATCTAAACTTCTGCATTTTATTATTATATGAGTAAAGGGAAAAGATTATAAAATATTTTGTTTATATAGAGTATTATTGCAAAAAACTAAATTCATCTCTCCTGAATTAGTTTTTCTGAAATGATTTCACTTAGTTGTAATAATAAAAGTTTTCATAATTATGGTAATCATAAATTTAGTAATAATAATAAAAAATGATAATAATAATAACAAAAACAACAACAACTGTAATAGTAATAATAATATATGCATGATGAGAATGGGGAAATAGTAATGATAATAATAATGGTGATGATGATGATGAGGAGGAGGAGGAGGAGAAGGAGGAGGATGATAATGATGATGATGATTATGATGATGATGATGATGATGATGATGATGATAATGATGATAATGATGATAATGATGATGATTATGATGATGATGATGATGATGATGATAATGATGATGATGATGATGATAATGATGATAATGATGATAATGATGATGATGATGATGATGATGATGATAATGATGATAATGATGATAATGATGATAATGATGATGATGATGATGATGATGATGATGATGATGATGATGATGATGATGATGATGATGATGACAATGGTGATGACAACGGCGATTACAATGATGATTGTGATAATGAAACAGTGGTATGGTGATAAAAATTTAACTAATATTTTTCAAACTAATTATTCGTATTATTTATGAATAATAATTTAGAGATATATGTTCAAACGATGAATACGTTTTTGAAAGAATTGCATTTTTATTTGAACCTCTAACAAAGGGATACTTAGAAGTTTATGAAAGGCAAAACAATTGCGATATTATAAAAAAGTATAGAAAAGAAGAATTTTTTGGTTTAAGAGATTTTTACAGGTAACCTCAAGTTTCTTTTCTAAGTTTGCAAATTTTTTTTTTTTTGTATAAATTGTGTAATTGGAAATAAAAATTTGGTTTGTTTAATGATTTCTTTTATTATTACCGCTGACCTTGTGTTTGTTTTGTGTGGACACAGAAAAATAAATAAATAATCAAACCGACAAAAAAGCAAGTTAAATAAAATGTTATAAAATGGTTTCCATGAGAGGGCAGTAGAGATTTATAATCCAAGAAAATTTAAAGTTGAGGACTCAGTGAGATATAAGATACCAGTGAAAATATTCAGTTTATTAACTCATATTTGACAAAAAATATTTGATATTTCAATATTTTCATTATGATGATTTTTAAATATAATATATTTGAATATGATATTTAAATATAATAAGTCATTTTAGTTTGATAAACTTTTTATGCTAGATATTTATTTATGAAATATTTATAAACATTATGCTAGATATTAATAAATATTGTGCTAGATAATAATTTTATATATTAATTTTTTAAAGGGATGCCGAGACAAGTTGTGTTCATATTAAAGAAAATGTTTTAAAAAGACATTTGGGCTAAATTTTTTTGATTAAAGCTTTATAATGAATGCTCACCATTAAATTTAAAATTCATGTTTTAGTCGAAGCTTGCTGTCTCCATTTTTTTTTGGTTCTCAGAGTCTGTATAATGTTAGCCGCAATCTGCAGACTTGATAATTTATTCAATGTCTGTTAGTTCATAACAGTTTCGGTATATGACATCATCGTATAAATTTTTTCTTTTAAGATATCGTATTATTCTTTTTGCCAAAATCACCAAATCATGAAAATTGTATAACTTTTTACTAAATTCAAAAAAAGTTTATGATGCAATTAAAAATAAAATTTATAAAAATAAAAATTTAATATATAACGAATATTTACAGTAAAACATACTTGTTTAAACTAAATATAAACTAGATACTAAAAAAATAATTTTACTAAAGCATATAAATTTTTGAAAAAAATTGATTAAAAAAGAAAAAAAATTTTTGTTGAAATAAATGTTTTTCATATCTTTTTTATTTTTATATCAAATTTATTTTATTTTTGATTAACTTTGTTGTATTTACTTTTGATGTGTTTTTAGTAAAAGTTAATATTTTTTTTTTAGTTTATTAAAGTTAGTATTTTGCTTTGCTCGCAAACGCAAAAATGCTCCTACACTTTCAGATATTAGACATGCTGTCAAAAGAAATTTTAGTGGACTTCAGGAGCTGGACACATGGAGTATTTTTAAATCCTGTCTTCCTAGTAATTTTTCTGAGGTATTTTAATACCACGTTTTAAATTTATTAAAACTGCTTTTTTATTTTTTATGTTTAAATTAGTTCCTATTGAGTTTCCATGTAAAATACCGTTTAGTTAAAAGATACAGATGTAGATATACCTGTGCTGCGCCTAATTGGTGATAGTTTTGCTGATAATTGTCCATGTTATGAATACCGTTTTAATCTTAAAAAGACAGAAAAACCGCATTGTTTAAGTTCTCGTTATCTTCTATTAATGACAAATGGTTATGCTGCTTTACCAATCATTGAACAGTATTACTTACAAACCAATCCAAGTTTAAAAAACAATCAAAATTGTATCATTTTTGGAAGTAGTTTTCCTAAGGATCAGCAGTTTACTCAGGTATATATCTTTGTATTTAGGCATAATTGTTTAGACTTAGATTTATTATTTCTTGTAAAAAAAAAATTAATAGTTTTATAATTATGTATAGTTAAATTATGCTAGCTGTATATATATATATATATATATATATATATATATATATATATATATATATATATATATATATATATATATATATATATATATATATATATATATATATATATATATATATATATATATATATATATATATATATATAATGTTTAGCAATCAGTTAACAAGTAGTCATTAAAAAACTTAAGTATATGAGTAAAATCAAAAAACATATTCAACCTTTTGTTAACACAGAAAGCCTTTCTTATAATTTTTAATGTTAAACTTCCTGTAAAAGTTATAAAGAAAGTTCCTAAGATTTACATAACAAAAAAATCAGGTAACACAAGGAAAATTTCAAACTATGAACTCAAACTGAACAAAAAAGTTTCAAACTATGATAAAAATTATGCTGTACTTAAAAGATGAGAATCATATTTTTGTGAAAACAAAAAACAAAAACAAATAAAAACTTTTAGTACGCTAACAAAATAAAAAAACAAAATTTACATAACATAAACATTTATATATTGAATTTTTAAATTGTATACTGAAACAATATATATTCCTGTGTAATAAGATAGGAATGACAAAATCACTAAAACAATGCTTGACCAAATTATGGCAGGTTACATCACCAAAGCAACATTAGACAGCACTAGCCAATTTAAAAATGAACATGCATCTGATATACAGACTATTAAAAAATATTAGTTGTACTACTAGTTACGAGTGAGAAAGAATCCTATTGTTAGCTGAGGCACTATGGTTTCTGTGACCCAATTTTTTGGCAAAAAGTATTTTTTTTAAGTGTAAAAAATGACTTTTTTTATGTTGCTTTAAGTAAAGTCTTTAAATTGTAAGCAAACATAGTCTATTTCAATAGTATACAAAATATTCAATAGAGTTATAAGAAATAAAATGCAAAAGTTTTTTGAAAACCATAATCTGATCATAAAATGCCAACATGGTTTTGTAAAACAAAAATCAATTAGAAAAATTTTTGTAGAGAATCTTGATTTTATAATACAGAATTTATCAAAATGCTTGTAGATGTTATTTGGTAGATTTTTGAGAAAGCATTTGTGACCGTGCAACAAGCAATTTAAGTTAAACGTATATGAAATAAAAGAAAAATTTTTAAGTTAAGTTGATGCATTTTTGAATAATTGCATACAATGTGATGATTTAAAATCATGGTTTAATGTGAAGCAGTGTTAAACCATTCTTTGTGTTAAGCGTATTAAGTGGAGTTCGGCAGAGATCTAATCTATTCCTTTTTGTAGCATACATCAATGACATACCGAAGAAAATTAAAAATACTGTTAAAAAATATGCAGACAACATCAAAATTTTATCAGCAGTATATTCAATTGAGAATGTCAAGTTATTTCAAAGAGATTTAAATAATAAAATAGAGTAGTCAGAAAAATGGTAGAACTGAACAAAATTAAATGTGTGGTTATGCATAATGGTAAAAATAGCATAAAATTTAATTACAAATTAAATTATAAATTTAATTACAAAAAAATTAACAAAAGTAAATTTGTGGTTATACATAATGGTAAAAATAGCATAAAATTTGATTACAGATTAAATAAATCATAAATAAAAAGTTTAACAAAATAGTATGATCTTGAGGTAAGTTTTGATACATTACTGAAATGGAAGAAACACCTTAGTCCATTTAGATCAGCATCTTATCAAGCAATTATTCACTATTTCACTTAGACCTTTGATTAAATTTGCAGCATCACTTTGGTCACGAAACTACATAAGTGACATTGAAATAATAGTACAGCACATAATAACAAGGATGACAAAGAACATAAGAAGCCTGCAGTACCATGATTGTTTATAGACACTTGATTTAACAATATTCGCAGAAAGAAGACAAAGAGGAGATCTTGTTCAAATATTTAAGATTATTAATGAGATTAAAAAAGTAAAACTTTTAAACAAACCAACATTCTCAAAATCATGCAGAGGCCATGATATGAAATAAAATAGCACCAAGTTTATACTTGTTTAAAACATTGTTATATGACGTTGTCAAGTCAAAAAATGTAAACAATTTCAATAGCAAGTTAGACAAATATTTAGCATCAAAAAAAGTAACTTTTAAACTATTTTTTTATTAGTAAATTGTTGTTTATTATCAAATGCTGTCAAAGTGCGTTTCTAACTCACAGTTAATAAAGCTAAAGTTTAACTACTTTTGGTAAACAATTTTTTTATTTCTCTACTTATATATTGATTGTGTCCTTGTTTATGCAGATAAGATTTTATAAGAAGTAAATTTTCATTAGATAATTTTAATATTAGAAGTAATTTCAAAAATGTTTGCTTTTATGACATCTGTAAACATGGTCATCAAATTTATCTAAACCAGTACCTGCTCTGCATGTAAATGTATAAATAAAAATAGAAATAAAATAAAAATTGATGCATAAATTAGTTCTAAATCTCAGGTTGTTTGTTTTCCTATACCAATCCTAGCTTATACCTATCCTATCCTTACCTATACCTATACCTATCCTATCCGATACTTATACCTATCCTTTTAGCCTATACCTATCCTTTTAGCCTATACCTATCCTTTTAGCCTATACCTATTCTTTTAGCCTTTACCTATCCTTTTAGCCTATACCTATCCTTTTAGCCTATACCTATTTTTTTAGCCTTTACCTATCCTTTTAGCCTATACCTATCCTTTTAGCCTATACCTTTTAGCCTATACCTTTTAGCCTATACCTTTTAGCCTATACCTATACCTATCCTATCCTATCCTATCCTATACCTATCTTTTTCCTATACCTATCCTATCCCAGCACATCTATTACATGATAGAAAGCAAACTTGTTTTTTTGAATTCAAGACATTGATGCTTTAATGTTTCATAAATACCCAATGTGGTAAAATAGTTGATGAATTGGTACATAGCACATTCTTTATAATTATAATTAAAAGTTATTTACTATATACCTTGAGTAATCAAACATCACAAAGTTTGTGCAATCTAAACGGTAAAAAATTTATTGATAGTTTATCAGTTGCATAGTATTGGTTGAGATTTTGCCATTTTACAGAAAAACTCATTTAAGTATTAAATTTTTATTTTTATGCAACTATTTTAAAGGAATTTATATACACAAAAAATAGTAATGTCACTATCTAAAGTGAATGATAAAAGTGACTAGTAAACAAGATATTTTGAAAGGTTTGGATAATAATAAAAGTTTTAATGAATTGAATAAATGCTGGTCTTCACAAAAAATTAAAAATAATATATAACATCATTATGTAAAATTACACATGCTAAACAAGCTATATAGGAAGCTAATTACAAACAAACTATAGTATAAAACATAACAAAAAACTTAATAATATAATATATAAGCTTAATAGGAGTAAGTTTTCATTAACTTAAAAAAGTTGGTTGAATTAATAAAAGATAAAAAAATATATATATACACACATAAGAACATACATGTTTAAAAAGTATAATAGTTTCTAACAATTGTTAAAATTATGGTGTAAACTAAGCACTTTACTTAAATAAAAAAGTTTACTAAATCATTTGTTACACCTAAGCAAAAATTTATAAATATAACTATTCTTCAGATGTTATAATACCTTTTTAAAGTTTGTTTGACATCAAGGTGAAAGGAGGCTTCATTTATGTTAAAAATAAAGAACAATTATTATTTAAAAATATGAATATCTTGGTTAAGTTGATTAATTGATTTGAGTTGTTATTTAGATTATTATTTTTAAATAAATTGTTTTATTAATTTTTGTGACATTATATTTACTTTTAAAGATTTGCCGTGATATAAATCGAATTAAAATATGTATGGAAACCGGTGCTCGAGTTGTATTGTTAAATATGGAAAACTTATATGAAAGTCTTTATGATACATTGAACCAGGTATACTTAAATGATTTATTATGTGAGCATTTAGTTAAATGTTAATCTCTTTTTAATGGGGTTTTTGTTATGTTAAATGTTAAACATTTTATTGAATATTAGTATTATTTATCATACCACAAAAAGTCAAAATAGTGTACATTAAATTTATTTCTTCTGTTATTAGATTATTGTATTTAAACTCTTTTTTATGTTGGATGAAACATTAAAACCAATTTCCTATTGTTAACTTTATTGGGATCAAACTTTATTTATATTTTTATCAAAGAATTTTATATTCCAAACTTTTTAACTAAAAAAAGTTTTTTAATTTTTCACATCGGATTTTTTGTTCTTCTTTTTTTTTTTTGGTCATCACTCTAACAACCATCCAGAATACTAAACAGGTTCAGTCGATATTAGTTATTTAGCACTTTATTAGTTTAGCTGAAAAACATTCATTTTATGTTTAGTATTATGTATCACTTGGAGGAAAGAACTATGTAGATTTAGGCATTGGATCTCATAGAGTTAAATGCAGGGTGCATGAAGATTTCAGGTAAGATTATTGTTTTTTTTTCTTTGTGATTAGTATAGTTAACTAAGTTATGTTAAACTATTGTTCTATATAAAAAATTGTTTGTACCATGCAATTTTCATGCTTTCTATGCAATTTTTCAAGTCATAAATTTTTTTCAACATAATTTTTTAAGTCATGATATAAGTTTTTTTATATTCTTAAAAAATCAATTTACTTTAAATTTAGACTTATAGTGATTGCAGATAAAGAAAATGTGTACAACACCTTTCCTATTCCTTTGATAAATAGACTAGAGAAGCATTTTTTAAGTATGTTGAATGGAATGGAACATTCTCAAATAAAACTTGTTGAAAAGCTTAAAAAATGGGCTTATGATTTTTCAAGCATAAAATTGTCAACGTATGAATGAACTTTCTTTTATCTCAAATTTTTGTTTGTTAAATATTTTTATATCATTCTATAATAGTTTCATTTATTGATTATAAATTATTTTTAAGATTTTATTTTTGATAACATTATTAAATTAGAGTTATGATTGTTGTAATTGTATTTGTAAAAATTAAGTACAAAAACACAATGCAATACAATAATATTGTATTGTAATATCAGAGAAGTAATAAAAATATTGGTATTGTATTGCTGCGATAAAAAAAATTACAATAACTATTGTATTGTATTAGTATTTCAAAGTCCAAAAAAATATTGTAATTTAATGTATTCAGATTTTTTTTCCCACGCATTTAGTATTATTTGAAAATTGTCCAAACATGTGAATTCTTTTTTTACTTATGGACAAATTTAGATTTAGTGCAATACTTTTCAAAATAGAATGATGTTTTGGAGACATAAAGACACACAATGGTAATGTGGATCTAAAAGTTTGGTTTCTGCAAAAGCTTCTTCATCACAGCTATGATTCTTAAACTTTTCTTCAAGCTTGGAAAAAATACCTGCACAGCAGTTCTTCATATCTTTGGTGTTCTTCACATTTTTAATGTTTCCCTTGGTCATACTGTTGAAGATAATTTTTTGCAAGTTGAACATTTCGGGAATGACCTCAAAAATTGATGCCTTGTTTTCAGCAGACACAGTGTTGATTGTATAATTGAGTCTTTTCATCAAGGACAAAATCCTCTGCCAGATTTCAAAAATAAGTCCATCAGGGTTCTCTCTTCACCAGTTGTTCTATAATCAGGGTGGCCTCTGGTCATGGAAATCAAGGAAATCATGGAAATGTTATGGAACTTTGTTTTGTCATGGAAAAAGTCATGGAATTTCTAAATTTTCATTGAAAGTCATAGAAAATTCATGGAACTTTTGAAATTTGTCTTTATTTTTTACTACTTATGATATTTTTAGGATGCAAAGAAAAGTACTAGTATGTCTAGTCTAAGTCCTTTTTTAAAAAAGAGATTTTTGCAGTTTTCAGATTATCAGAGAAGTAAAAGAAAAAGAGTTTTTTTCAGATTTCAGAACTTTCTACCTATTTATTTTGATTTGCATGTTTCATAATGACTAAGTTGCAAATGCTAAGTGCATGGCAAGTACTGAATAATTTACTGGTTCGTGGTTTATCATAAAAGTTTATGAAGAGTCATGGAAAAGTCATGGAAAAGTTATGGAAAAGTCATGGAATTACATTTACAAATTTGAGTGACCACCCTGATAATTCAGGAAATTCATTTTTTTTTTTTACTTCGGATGTAGAGAAGAATAGACTTCACATTAAAAATTGACTTCTAGTAAAAAAACATATTGTTCCAGCGTGTCTTGACAAAACTTTAAATTTTGTAGAATGGTTCTTTAAACAAATTCTTTTGCCTCAAGCGCGCTGCAGTGGTCTCAATTTGATAGACAATTTTGGGTGAGTTTTGAACAGAGAGAAATTTGCTTTTTCTTTTTCAAATCAAGGACTGGCTTTAAGTCAAGCTAAACAGGCCATGTTCAATTGATGGTTGAATCAGCCTCACCAGGAAAATGGTGGAGCTGATTAGGAATTTTTGGAATAATTTTTTTCACATTGGTGGTATTAGCGTCATGAGTGAGAAAGATTTTACAACCATTGGGAAACTAACTTTGTAAATTCTAAGTTAAACTAGAGGACTAAAATAACATTGTAACAATAACTACAAACAAAAATATTAAAGGCACAATGGTGCATACCAAATTCTGTATATCCTACTTAAACTTCATCAAATGATTCATATTAAATGTTGCTAAACAACTTTTTTTTAATTAATTTGACGAAAAATTACTGAAACAGTAAAGGCTCCTGTTTTTCTACTTTATTATTATTTACTTGAAAGAAAACAAACAGTAAAATAAAATAAAACATTTTTATACTAATATACCATTCAAGATTTGCTCATAATTATTGTGATAAGTACTTTTTCTGAAAAAATTTTTTTTTAAGTTTTTGGTAGTTTGTGGGATATCAGTTGGCTCACAACACCACAAAAATTTCAGAACTTGGTAGTTGTTGTTGATGGAATGGACTGTGATTGAATTATGATTGTCACATATTGGAGAGAACCATCCATCAGTGGTGAAACCAATTTATATAATCATTTTGATCTCAAAGAAGATGTCTTTTACAGCTTTAATTTGAAACCTCATATACAATGGGAAGTTTGTTCTGAGCAGAGCAAAGTGTGTACTGAAAATAATTTAAAATGTTTTAATTCAGCGTCTGATCAGCTTGCCTATATCATTCAAAGTAAATTATTCAAATTAAAATAACACTTGGTGTTTGAAGCTTACTTTACTCAGGTTGTTATCATAAATATTCCACCATAGTTTTTGCCTCTTGCAACTAAGTGGAAATCTATTTTCTGCTAAAAAAAATCATTTACAAACTTATAATATATATATATACATATATATATATATATATATATATATATATATATATATATATATATATATATATATATATATATATATATATATATATATATATATATATATATATATATAATATATATTTTATATAAGCTTATATGATTTATCAATTCTTTTTAAGGTAATGTAGTTTTTCATTTTTTTTAAAGCTTATAAAATACATCAATTTTTTTTAAACTTATATAATATATTAATTTTATAGCAACTATTACATAGTCTGCTTAGGGCCCCCATTTTACTGGTTAAAATATAACTAAAGATAAACAAGGGTGTCCAATTTTAAGTAAAAAAGAAAAGTTTCAAGTAAAAAAGATGAGTTTTAGTTAAGTAACAAAGATGAGTTTTACAAAGTGATATTCAATTTTAAATTAATTGATCAAAATTCAGATTATTATCATTACAGAAGTAATAATAATCTGAATTTTGCGGAAGTATATTACAGAAGTCTTCCCGGAGGCACGTGCAGTTTTTTGTCTTGTATGTCCACAGGTATGTTTTTTTATTTTAGACAACTTGATCACAGCCATTTGCAAGTATTATTATATTAAGTGTTTCAATACTCTGCGGTAAAAACTAAACATGTATTTTTTTTGTTTCTTTAGGTTTTTTTTTTTTTTTTGCCTTATCCAACAAAATTGGATGAAACAAAAAAACAGTTTTGAGTTGACATTAAAAAGAATGATTTTTCTATATTTTATTTGTTTATTTTTTTTTATAGAGGAAAGCGAAAATATAAAGTACTATCTGTTTGTAAAATATATTTGTATAACTCAATACTTGTGTGAATTCAAGACTAGGAGATGCCAACTCCGACTTTAACCCCCCCTGTCTTGGGGCTTTTGGTTGAGTAAAGGCTAGAGAGGGTGTCTTGAAACAATACTCATCTTGGGCAGATATTAAATGTATTCAGCTACTGTATTTTTAATACATCGTTTCCAGTTAAGGATGTTAAATGTTGGATCTTCTTGACTCAATGCATGAGTTTTGCTTGTGTCCCTGTTTTTATGACTAGGCAACTCATTCTATTATCTTCTAAAGAGGGTAGAGATCTAAAACTCAGTTTTATGGTTCTGAGGCCAGCTGGTAGTCTGGTTTCCCAAACTCTGTGGTAGCTCTCAGAGAGGTTGATTCCATCAATAGCTGAAAAATATCAGAGTACTAGCAGTGCCATGTTGCGCATAGATGGTGTCCCTGTTTTTACTTTTGGTGTGCATTGCCAAGGCCACAATTGGAGGCCTTTGTTATGGCTTAGGGTTTATTAATAGTAATGAGGCAATTGCTTGGGCTATTAAATAGTGTACTGAGTACTATCTATGCTTTGAGTCAAGTTCTTTAAAAATATTAAAAATAAATACAGTAGCCAAAACTATAAAATACAAAAAAACATTGTCATCACCAAGTTCTCTAAACCTATCATTCACTAATATTCATGGTTTTCAAAGTAATTTTTCTTCTGTTGAGCCTTATTTCTTTTAAAGTTCACCAGACCTATTTACTCTTTGTAAAACTAATTTAAGTTCAGTTGTCTCATTTTGCGATCTCAGTGTTGATGGTTATCTTCCTTTAATTCATGCTTAGCCTAAGCATTTACATGCGTGAGAATTCACTCATTTGTTGGGAAACTAGGTTTGAATCCACACACTACTCTTTCATGTGCTTTTGTTTAGCACCCCTTCACTCTATGCCTTTCTCTTTGTTCTATATTACCTTCATATCAAGACTATCTTTTTCTTGATGTTATTTCTGATCATGTTGACCAAGCCCTCTCTCTTTATCCATCAGCCAATATTGTTATTGTCTGTGACTTTAATGCTCATCACACTGGATGGTTTGGCTCTAGTATCAGTGACTCTGCTGGCATTACAGCTCACAACTTTTGCCTTTCTCAATCTCTAACTCAAATAGTCAACTTTCCAACTCACTTTCCAGACAATCTGAATCATTTTCCTTCTCTACTCGACTTATGTCTTGTTTCTGATCTAAGTCAGTGCTTATTTTCTCCACATTTACCCTTAGGTGCTTCTGATTACAAATTAATCTCTCTAAAACTATTATCTCATTCTTTTTCATAATCTGAATCCCCCTACCATTGTACCTCTTACAACTACCTTAAAGCTGACTGGGGCTCTTTCTTTGATTTTTTTCATGATGGCCCTTGGGTAGAAATTGTTTGTCTTTCTGTTGACAAATGTTCTTACATAACTTTGTGGATTCAGGCTGGCATGGAATCTTTTATTCTCTCTTGACGATTCCATGTCAAGCCCTACTCTTCTTCATGGTTTTCCTTGTATTGTGCTGCTGCAATTGACGAACCAAATTTTTACTTCCACATCTATCAGCAAAACAATTCTCCAGATAATAGACGCCTGTTTATTACTGCTAGAAACATTGTTTTTGGCAATAGACAAAACCTTTAGTTTTGTCTAACGCAAAAGCCTACCATTCTCAGGTCATTAAATCTTGTTTCATCACAAAAATTAGGCTCTCGTAACTTTTGG